TCATTGTATTATTTAAGAAAAAAAGCCTGGACATGGGTGAATGTCTTCTTAAGCCCCAAAGGGCCACACTGGGTAGCAGTTGATAAAGTTGATGTGGGCCACACAAATGCCCAAATAATGCCTGTCATTTTAAAACCCTTGAATAGCCAGACTGTCATCTCTCCTGAGGCTAATGACACCCTGCCTCCTGAGGCTACAGACCCCTGTTTACCATCCCCTTAGCAATCCACTGAGGGATCCTGTTCACTGAAAGATGAAATTCTTCGCACCCTTAGAGATCCAGGTCAAAGCTCATCTCCACTGTCCAGTCCACTCCTCCCACCTTGGAGTCTCACCTCTGAGCACCACGACACCCCATATGCCCTCCCCTAAAGCACAGACCATGCTGTGCTGTGGTTGCTCATTGTTATGGACCAGGTTGTGCCTGCCTCCCCCAAACTCATAACTCCCAGTCATTCTGGATGTGACTGTATCTGGAAGCATGACCTTTAAAGAGGTGATTAAGTTAAAGTGAGACCATTAGGGTTACCCTAATCCAGTCTGACTGGTATCCTTATAAGAAGAAGAGATTAGGACACACAGAGACATCAAGGGCATGCACATGTAAAACAGACTTTGTGAGGACACAGTAAGAAGGTGGCCATCAGCAAGCCAAGGAAAGAGGCCAAAACTGCCAGCACCTTGATCTTGGACTTCCAGCCTCCAAAACTGGAAGAAAATAAGTCTTTGTGTTTAAGCTGTCCAGCCCATGGTGCTTTGTTACAGCAGCCCTAGCTGACTAATAGACTCATGAGCAGCCCCACTCCCATGAGAAATGTTCTGGGTGGGGCTCCCAGGCCTGGCCAACAAAAGCTTTGTTGCCCTTGGCCATTGTGATTGTTGTTGATGGACACACAACTAAAAGTTAAGCCCTGTTAGTTGATGCAATATGAGTAAACAATAGGACTTCTACAGGTGCTGCCAGAAAAGGGATAAGGCCTTTCTGCAGGACTTGAACTTGAAAGTTGTGGTGCTGGCAAAGCAACAGCTACCTTGCTGTTCCAAGAGGTGGCTCTGGGGTTGGTAGAAGCCAACACTGCCCTTGGTCCAAGCCATTCTGAAAGTTAGCACCATCCCTGACTTTCCAGTTACTTATGAAAACACGAATTCCCCTTTTCTTCTGAAGTGGCCTACACTGGGTTTCTAGCATCCAAGAGGGCCTTGCCCATGGCCATCCTCAAATCTATGCAGTAAAATCTGGAACACTCAGAAAGGAAAACCGAGTCACTAAACACAGGCAGAGTTGAGGACTGGAGTGGAAGTTGAGGAGGTGGTGGAAGGAGAGACTTTAGGTCTCAGCATGGGATGGAAAACCTATTGGGGACCAGCTTCCCACCTCAATGTCAATGTTCCCCTTCATCCCCAGTCATAGATTCTTAGCTCATCTCAGCTGTTCTGAATAAAAGACTGTATTTCCCACCTTCCCTTGCAGTGCGTTATGGCCATGTGACTAAGTTGTAGCCAATGATATGTAAACAGAGACAGGGGCTGGAGCTTATGGGAATTCTCTTTGATGGCAGGAGATGTGTCCTGCTGCTTAGGGTGTGAATTTCATGGCCAAAGCCCCTAAAGTCAAACACAGCACTCCCAATCCCTCACCCCACAAGGCAGCCCTTGTTGACTGATCATTCCCAGAAAGAGGCAACCAACCCCATGGGGGCAAGAACGCTGATGAAAAGACCAGAAAGCCTAAATTTAAGACTTGCTTATGGTGTCCTCAAGCAGGATAGCTGTTTATACAATGGGGAAACCAAGGCTCAGAAGGGAACTGACTGCTCAGGCTTGTAGGAAGGTGTTCAATCCTGATCTCTTCTCCTCTGCTCCCACTACCACCACCTTAGAAGGGCAACTTCTTTCTAACTGGCCTTTAGGTTGTCAGTAGCCCTCCATCCTAGCAGCTCACTTCCAAAGCAGATCTCCACTGCTATGACTCACTCACTCCACAGCCACTGGTCACCTCCTGCATAGAAAACTGGACCAGACTCCTAACTCTCACCTTTGTCCCTCCACAGTTCATTTCATTCCCAGTTCCCAGAGCAATGCTGCTAAATCTGAAGTCAGCTCTTACTCTCCATTCACTGGAGGAAAATCCAAAACCCTGACTCTGCCTGACAACATAGCGTTGTCCAGGTCCCAGCTCCTTCTCTGACCTCTGGCCCTTCTTTTCTCCCCTCTTTTGCTGTACTCCAGCTACATCAGCCCCCTTGCTGCTCCTCAAACATGCTCCTGCCTCAGGGCCTTTGCATGTGCCATTCCCTTTGCCTGGCAGGCTCATCCCTCCAACATGCCTGAGGTTCGCCTCCCTCATGATTTCAGAGGCATTCCCTGACCACACAGGTAGAACAACAGCCCCTAGCCACAGTGGGTGAATGCATGAGTGAATCAATGAATCACAATGAACAAATGAATTCTGTGCCACTCTTTAATTCAGAATTCCTATTGGATTGAATCATATGATGTTGCCATTTTATGGGCCAAAAATCTTTGTATAGTGGCTATTTTATACAACATGACTTACTTTGGCAGTCACATCCATGCTCAAAATTCTCCAATTGCTCCGACCACCTAGAAATTCAAACTGCTCAGATTGACCACATGCCTCCTGGCTCTGGCTCCCATTCTCTTCCTAGTCCAGGATGGGCTATCCCATGGGTCTCTTGGACTCTTCCTTGCTTGAATTCCCTAAGGCCACATCTGCCTGTTCAAACTCTCCTCTTGAAAAAGGCTCCCTGCCTCAGGCCTCAGCTCCACTCTGGGTACCCTGGCACAGGTACCAGCAGGAGCCATCCTCCACCTCAGCCTGAAATGGACCCCTCAATTCTATACCTCTGGTCAGCTGAGGTGTAGGGTGGAGGGTGTGCTTTTGGATGGCAGGGGCCTCCAGCACCGCGGCCTTCCACTGCACCCCAGCAGGCACTATTACAATGGGCTAGTTATTCCAAAATTATAAAATGTGCTGGGATCAATCCAGTCCTGGGAGACCCTGCCACTCACTGTTGTTGACCTTGGACAGGTCTCTTCTGAGTCTCAGTTTCCCTATAATTGGATTAATGCCAGAGCCCAGAGCTGGGTCCCAGAAATGGGAGCCGGGGGTATGGGCAAGAGAAAGTGGAAAAATCACAGATGACAACAAGGGAAGATGCACAAGATGGTGATTTCAGCAACCTAAACTGGACTCTCAGTACTGATGCCATTTCTGGGCATGAGATGGGACAGTCCCCTCTTTTCTCTGAGCCTTGGTTCTCCCCCTGAAAAGTGAGCCCTGACACAGGAGAGAAGGGGAACAAGGGCAGGTGGTGCCAGGAAAAATCCTATCCCACAAAGATGTTGAAAAGGATGTGCATTTGGAGAGGGCCTGCAGCAAGAGGCCACCATGCCCCTGCCAACCTCATTCTGAATCCAGGATCCTGTTTTGCAGTCCCATCAGGTGTGAGTAAGAAGGTAGCTTCAGAAGGCGGTGACGAAGTCAGACCTTTTGCAGGACCAAGATAATGCTGTTCTCCCTCACAAGAAGAAGTGGAAAGAAAACATTCACTGGTGACAGGGGGTCCCGATACCCACTGAGCCAGCATTCCCAACTGGTGAAGGCAGTGCCAAGTACTTGGTTGATGGAATGGGGCTTCATGGCTATAGGGAACTTTAGACTGGAGGACAAGGGGAAGTTCTGTGCTATCAGGATGCTGAGATGGAGCCCTGTGCACAGAGAATGAAGCTCTGGAGTATGGGGCTGTAGGAAAAGATCTAAGGCAGAAGGAACTCCTGCGGCTGTATTCCCAAAGCAGAAGCCAGTGTGATATGTTTGGGAAATGGGGTATGTAACAGGGAGGGAGAAGATGGGGGCAGAGAGGGGCAGATGGGGGCAGAGGTCAGCAGTTGGGGTTTCATTCTGATTCCAGGGTTTTAAGCAGAGATATGACATGATCTGATTTCCATTATAAAGGATGACCCTGCCCGCAGAAAGATCTGCAGGAGGATCAGGGAACAGCAGGATAAAAAGGGTGAGGGATGGGGTCCTGGCAGCCCAGATACATACACCAGCTGTGTGATCCAAGATAGAGGAAATGAGGACTCAGAGCAGAGGCTGGAATGTGTGTGAATTTTTTCGGTAACTGTTGGATTTGTTGCTGTTGGGGCTGAGGGTGAGAGAGGACACAGGAGTGCCTTGTGAACAGCTGAGCAAGCCAGGTGAACCACTCCAGCCCAGAGAAACCAGAGGCTAAGCTAACTTTCAAGGGAGTCCCCAGTTCAAAACAAACATGCAGAGATCCTGGCCCGCCAGTCCAGATACACATAAGCAAGACCCACAACACGGCCTTCCCCTCACTGATCAGAGCTTCCTGGTGGCCAGCGCGTGTCCACTAGGCTTTTCTCACAATTGTTTTGAAAACCAAATGTGTGCCCCAGCACTTTGTGCATGCCTGTGTGTGTGCGTGTGTGCACACACGCATGCATGTCCAGGCAACACACAATTCCCATAAAACAGGGGTTGCAAATAGAAATGCCCACAGAGGCCAGGCAAGTCTTACGAGGCTGGCAATAAGATGAACAATAGAGAGTAGTGGAGACTGTGGCACAGAATGTGCTGAAAGGAAACTGTGTTCTCAACTCTAGCCCATTATAACTATGTGGATACATGTGTAAACTTATTTTTCAAAAAAAGCTAGAAATTTGTATTTGTAGGTAAAACAGCTAATTTAAATTTTGGGCTTCAATTTAAAAAAACAGCGTAAGTGCTACCTCAGCCAGTTAGCATTTGAGCCATACACAGCTGGCATGGTCTAAATTCAAACCAGGGACTGACCATCATCAGATCTGAATTCCAGTCATGGCACCTTCAGGATCCCATATTAGGGTCATCCCAGCATGGGGAATGCGAGGGGGTCCCAGAGAGCTCTTGAGAGAGTATTCTGGTCTCTGCTTAGCCTGTAAGACCCTGTTTGCAGTGTCTGGAGAGCACATACCCACTTTGAGCTCCTTTCCGAAGACGGTGCGCTCCCCTAGCGCGGAGCAGTTCCAGCGCCCATTGCGAAACTGAAATTGACACTCGTCGAGGCCCATTTGTGAGCCTTCTCCTATGACGATGATGGCGTCCGGCCTGCTCTGGCAGATCGCCCGCTGTCTGGGAGCCAGGCCTGGGATCTTGTTACAGATGATGCTCGCACCCAGAGCTACCACGGAGGAGAAGCCACTGGAACAGAAACAGGGAGCATTAGGCCCTCAGGGTGGGGGCGTGGCCTACAGGTCCTTCCCGGGTAGTAACCCTGGTCACCTCACCCTGCAGCTCCCAGCAGGAGTCTCCCAAATTTCTTAATACCGCACCCCGACCCCATGTTTATTTTTTTAAGGATTTTATTTATTTATTTTTAGACAGAGGGGAAGGGAGGGAGAAAGGGAGAGAAGCATCAATGTGTAGTTAGTTGCCTTTCACTGCTGACTACAGGAGACCTGGCCCCACAACCCAGGCATGTGCCCTGATTGGGAATCGAACAGAGTCCCTTTGGTTCACAGGCCAGCGCTCAATCCACTGAGCCACACCAGCCAGGGCCAATTTTATTCATTTGTAATTTCACACTGGTATTTGTGCAGTGTGTATATATAATATTAGTGAGGCTTGATTTCCTTTTCGATACCAAAAACCAAGGTGACATATGTCAAACATAAATGTTGAGTGAACTAAGCAAGTTGCCTTTGTAGTTATGGTAAGATTCAGTTGACATCAAGTTTAAAATCATGCAAAATGAATCCCAATATTGTTTCGGAATCATCTCTATGTGGAAAAACTATAAAGGGAAACTACTGGGTCAGCCAAAAAGTCCATACGGTTTTTTCCACATAAGACACAATTTTCATTTTCACCAATAACTTTATTGATTTGGATATTTTGAGTATGTTGGCTACTTCTCATGTGGTATAATGTTGATTGTTCTCAAATTAATGTCTCAATTTGATTACTATCAACTTCAACTGGTCTACCCAACGATGGAGCATCGTCCAAGAAATCTTCAGGACGAGACTTTGCAAACCACTTTTGACACATTCGATCAGCCACGGCACCTTCTCCATACACTGCACAAATCCTTTTTTGTGATTTAGTTCCATTTTTACCTTTCTTGAAATAATAAAGCATAATATGCCAAAAATTTTGCATATTTTCTTGTCTTCATAGTTAAAATGGCTATGCAAAAATTCATCAATTTTGATATAGTTTTAAAAATGCACCTGATATGACAGCTGCCATAATACAATCCAACAAAATTATTCTGAATGAAGTTAAAGACAACTAAGCACTACTAGAGCCATTTTACAGAAAAACAAAATGAACTTTTTGGCCAAACCAATACAAAGTTTCATGTAGCAGTTGCCTCTGAAAGGGTGGTGGGTACACAGATGTTCATTAAAAAAACAACTGTTCATACATGGCTTCTATACTCTCTGGTATATATGTATGTATATTTTTATTACCAAAATATATTTAAAGAGAAATTGTCAATAGAATACTAAGTATTTTCTCCCCACAAGCCAATGGAGTGCATGTATTCCCCTTTGGACGTGACTGGCCTAAAAGAAGCTTATGGCTGTTCTGGTGAGAGCCATTCACTGAATAGATACATACTGAACATCTATCAGGTACCAGGCTCTATGCTGGGAGATAGGCAAAGGCCCTGTCCTCAAGGAGCTGTAGAGGGAGGCAGTGTACACAACAGGCTTTTCAGACAGTGCTGGACACTATGAAAACAGTAAGTAAAGACACTGTGATAACAATCAGGAGTGGATTTGAGAGGGAAGGGTCAGGGGCCACTTTAGCTGGGGTGGTCAAGGAGACAGACCTCCCTGAGGACGTGACAGTGAAGTAGAAATCTGTCTGGCCAGTAGTGGGGAAGGTCTGGGGAAGAGCATTCTGGGCAAAGGGAACAGAAAATGCGAATTCATGGGAATGGAACAAGCTTGGGATTGCCAAGGAACAGGAAGAACCCCTAGATGCTGATGCAAACCACAGCTTGGGAAGGAGGACACTCTAGGGACAAGAGATGGCCCAGAGCTGGAATTTTCTCAGATGCATCAGGAAGCACTGAAGGGCCGCAGGCATGATACTGACAGGACCCCATCTGTCCAGCCCCATAGAAGAGGACTGTGGGATGCCAGGCAAGAGGTAGTGGTAGTGGCTTGGCATTGGTGGCAGTGATGGGGGTGGCTACAGATAGAGCTGACCAAACTTGCTATGGACTGATGGACTGATGGCTAGGGTAGAGCTAAGGGGAGAGATGGTGAAGGTACAAGGGAAAGACAGACTTTAGTGTGACTCGTGGGTACGGGCCTGAGGGTGGGGCCATTTCCTAATATCAAGATAACCCCAATCAGACTCCAGTGGTAACCCTGATGATGCAGGTAGCCTTTCCTTTACAAAAATAATAAGAGCTTCCACTTAATGAGGGCCATGACCAGCCACTGGGCTAAGTGCCTCATGCTCTCCATCCTGGAGCTCATGAAATGGAGCTCAGAAACAGTAGAAAGCTGTTCTGGAATTGAGATTTCTTAAAACACAGTTACCCTGTAGCAAAAGCACCTGTGATGAGCTTGTCCCACTCCTTTCCATGTATATAACCAACCACTCCTGTTCTCTTTCCCTCCCCTCCTGCCTCATGCCAGCCTTCTACCTGTCTCAGGCTCTTTGTCCTTGCTTGTACCTCTCCCTAGAAGCTCTCACCTCCTGAGCTTCACATGCTTAGCTTCTAGTCATCATTCATGGGACCTCAAGAGTCACCTCCCTTACCAACCCAGCTAAGGGAACCCCACCCCTCCTAATTTTCCATCACAGTCTCTGTTTTGTTTACTTAATACTCTTGCTACTCACAGTCCAGTCTTCTGAAATGTCTTAACATACTTGTTTTTAACTTTCCTGCTCACTTGTTTATTGCCTTTCTCATTAGACTATGAGCTTTCTGAGGGTAGGAAGGCTGTCTGCCAGTTCACTAAACGGCTACTGTATGAATGGATTGTGGAGCTTCAAAAAATGTCACTGAGGGAGAGCACCTGCTCCCCAAATATGCATTGAACACATCAACAAACTTTTGCAGCATCCCTACTATGTGCCAAGGCAATATGGTGAGTGCTGTCACACACATCAGTCCATGTGGCCTTTCTAAACAGCCCTGTTGGGCAGGACTCACCCTACCCATTTCATATATCTGAAAACTGAGGCTCACAGAGACTGAGACATAAAGGCTAGTAGGCGATGGATTTAAAACAGGAGCCCAGTGAGAGCTACTGGCCATTCATCTCAGCCATTAAAACAGAGCCTAACACAGAGTTGGAATGTTTGAAATGTTTGAGGAAGAGGTGGCATAGAAAGATTAAGTGGAGCTTCTGTCAGAAGGAATCTTTGAACACCTAGCTGACCACAATGAAATTCCTATACCAGCAGAGAAGTGTAACGATATATCAGGGTCAAAAATTCATAGGAACAATAATCTAGCAGCTAAGAGGTCAAAGCTAGGGTCATATAACTTTCCTTCACCTACTAGGTGTATGACTTTAGACAAGTTATGTCCCCTCTCTGTACTTCCATGGCTAAAATGAGAATATTGATAATTAGTCCTCACTTCACAGGATTGTTGTAAAAAATTAAACATGTTAAAACATGGAAAGTGCTTAGAAGATCATGTTGATAAAGTTATTGTTATTATTATTGGTTCTGACTGTCACAAGAGACTAGTACTTCAGTCGCAAAAACCAAATAAAATTTAAAACACACACACACACACACACACACACACACACACACACACACACACACACGCCCTGCCATCAATCCTGAGCAGGAAGGAACTAGTCACATCTGGGGAACTGGAAGGCCTGTTAGAGACTTTACCTCTCGTGCCCATTTTATAGATGGAAAACCGAAGCCCACGGAGCAGCAGAGCCTGGCCCCAAATCAACCTGCAACTCCTGCTCCCAGCCTGGACCTCTCTCCGCCCCAAAGGGTGGAGGCTGGGCTGCAGGTCGGCTTCTTCCCTGGGTCCCTTCCTCCAGGACAGCTGGGCCGCGGGAGGAGTCAATGAGGTCTTGGCGCCAGAGGGAGGTCGGGCAGGCGGTGCAGCCAAGGGAGGTTATTTTCTGTTGTTTTTCCCTTTCTCTCTCCCCTCCCGGATCCCTCCACCCCGTTTCTAATTAAAAAGGAGATAAAGCCTCGAGCGGCCAGCGCCAATCAGCCGAACCGGCTTCCTGGATGCTGAATGCGCGCGTGGCGGCGGGTGCGGCGGCCAAGGTGAAGATTAAAGTAGGGGCGAAAAGAAAAGCTGCTCAGCCGCGGGCGAATCAATAACACTTAAAACACACAGGCAGGCCAGCAGGCAGCGCGCAGGCCCCGCAGCCACCTCTCGGCACGGTAGCGGCTGGCCGGCCGCCTCGATAGCTCTGTGCGCACCTGCTTGTTTCCACTGCGGCTCAACTTGAGAAATCCCCGCTCCAGAGACGCGGGGTGGGAACAGGGGAGGAGTGATAGTGAAAAAACACAAAGGATCTGCCGTACACCACCCCCTCGCCGCAGCCCCGGGAGCCTGCCCCCTCTTCTGGCGGAGCGGTAGGGAGGTTCCTTCCTGGGGGTGGGGGAACAGGGTAGGTGCAACCTGCCAAGGTGGCCTATCAATTCCTAAAGGCCCCCACCCTCACCCCAATAGTGCTTTCACAAGCATTGTCTTCTAAGTACAAAGGCTGACCAGCCGTGCAAATGCGGCTCCAAGATTCGTCCCAAGGCGCACCCCCCCACAACCTTCCAACCAGAGCACTGCTCCAGCCCCCACTTCTGTAGAATGCAGTGGTGAAACAGCAAGGGCTGCTCTGTCCTCGTGCAGACAGACTCCCGCACCCAGTTTTAGGGGGCGGAGTGTCTCGCCTCTCTGGGGCGCTGGCTCTGCGACCTTGTCTCCCTCGGTGTCAAGCCAGCTCTCATCCTACCTTGTGTATGTTTGTTTCGGCTGGTAGGCGTTGTCCCCTTGGCCTAGGAAGGGGTTTTAGGAGTCTGAGGGTCCTTGGAAATCGTGCAGTGCCAGGGTTCTGAGCAGGGTTTGTGTTTTTTTGCCAGCGAACGTCCCTCCCTGTAGGTACCTGTTCTCTGTGGCACAGGCAGGCCCCGCCTGCCCCCAGGGACTGCCTCGTCTCTAGGAGTAGTTGTGCTCGAGCCTTTCGGGCTCTAGAGGCTGAGCTCCCTAGGGCGGTTGTGGTCCCGGATCGGGGCTCAGTGTTCTTGCTGATCCTGCTGGACCTGCTGGACCCTGGAACTGGCTAGCCCTTTGCAGCGGCTAGCCCTCTTCTGAGTTTCCCAAGCAGAAGCGTCCCTACTGGCTGCCTTTGCTTCTGGGACCTTCCAGACTGAGATGTCCTCAGGACGGACAGCCTCCCTGCTCTTACCTCTCGGGCTATGCGTACCCCTGGGGCGCCCGCCTGCGAGGGACCTTTGTGCGCCCGTCTCTCCCGCATCGCGCCCACCCGGCCTCTCTGAGGGGCCACGGAAGTTAGTGGCCAAGGTGGCTCTCCGGCGGCACAATCTTTCCCCGGGCCACGCCAACTTTGCCGGGACACGCGTGCAGGGGCTGCGAGTGGCCCTTACCCGATCCGGAGGTAGACCATACCCAGGCTGAGAAAGAGGTGGCCCAGGCAGCGCCGTGCTTTCCGGTTCATAGTCCCCGCTGGCTGCCGGGGCGGCGGGCCGAGCTATGCTTATCCCGCCAGATGACCCCGGTAGGGCAATCAACATAGCCCGCCCGGGAGGCGCGGGCCGAGGCGTCCCCGGGGCCGCCTGTCCGTGCACCCGTCCTCAGGCTCGGCGCCTGAGCCTCGCCGGAGCGCGGGATCCACGGAGCCAGAGCAGAGTGGGCGGAGCAAACGCCGCGGGCGACGGTGGACTGTGCGCAAGCTGCCGGTGCAAATGTGCGAGGCTCAGGGAGTGCGGGGATTCAGCACCCTCACGCCCCTGCCTCTCCCTCCCTCCTTTCTCCTGTCCCTCCCCGGCCCGCCTCCCTGGAGCGCCCGCCCTGCGCCTCCGCGCCCGCGGGACCCTGCAGCTTGCTCCCAGCGCGCACTCGCGGCTTGCCCCTCACGCTCCCGCGGCGCCCTCTCCCGGCTCCCGGACGCTGAGCTGGGTGGGTGGAGGTGGGAGTCCACTTGATCCCCAGAGGTCCCTAACTCCCAAGTCGCAGGGCGAGTGGGCGCCCAGGGACTGCGCTCTGGAAGGGGTGTATGCGGGGGAGGGGAATCAGGGCTCCACTGGGAACCGTTGGCCCTAGCCTATCTCCCTGACCTCCTTGCCTAGTCAAGAGCTTGGAACGAGCTGTGCGGTTTTAGGTCGCACCCGGGTTCCGCCTTCCCCCAGGCTTCCGAGACCGGCTTCGGGGGAGGGCATCCGTTCCTTAGGGCTGTTGGCGGAGCGGGGATAACTGGCTCAGCATATTCCTCCTCCACCCTTGTCTATTCGATGGGGGACAGCAGGTGGATGCCCGGGTTGGGCAGCCTCCTCCGGAATCCCGCTCCTAGTGGACAGTCGGAGTCAGGTTGAGGCCTGGATGGCCCGCAGGAAATCAAGAAGTGTGGCAGCGGTACCACCCGGGAGCGCAGGGTCCAGAGGGCCACTCGGCTCACGCACATGGCGACACCTGGCGGGCATAACAGGTGGTGCAGCTTGGCCTCACTCCCGCCAAGGTGCTGAACCCGACCTGTGACATGCACCCCAGTCCAATGAGTTACGGGCTGTTGGGCTCAAGTTTCAGCTAAAGAAGTTGAGGCTCAGGGGCGCGAAGGTGTTTTCCCAAAGTCTCCAGCTAGCGAGTGGCAGTGCCCCACTCTAGTAAGCCACCTCCTATCCTCTAGAATTGCTTTTTCAAACCACACACCCGTTCCTTGAAAACGACTTTTCATGCCTTCATTCACAATCCACAAATGCCTGTGCCAGGCACCACGGTGGGAAATCGTGGGTATAAGAAGGAACAAGAAAGACAAAGGTCATTCTTTTCTTGGAGCTTGTGAGGGAGACAGGCCAAAAGTAAACAAATAAGTAACTTCAGCTTTCCCAGGGACAAGTGGAGGTAATAAAACAAGTTATGGGAGAAGCAACATTGGGTGCTGAAGGGTTTATTTTAGATCCAAAGAGGTGGCATTCCAGCTGAGACCTGAAGGACAACAGATTTGGGGGGCCTGACATTTCAGGAAGGAGAATCCACTGAGAGGATAGGTAGAGCTGGACAAAGTGGAGCCAGGCAGATTGGAGAGCAGACAACCTACCAGTCCAGGTATGAGACATTGGTGGTTTGGGTTCAGGTGGTGATTTTAAAACATGGCCACAGAAGTATTTGACATGCCTCCCATTGAGAGGTGGGTCGTCTGTGCTCTCCCTCCTTGAACCTGGACAGGTTTCTGAGGGCTTCAGCCAATAAGGTGTGACCAAAGTGATGCTGCAAGACTAGACCTGTACAGTTATATCATGAGAAGAAATGCAGCCTCTGCCTCAGCTGGAACACTCCTGTTTGAGCCCTCAGCCACCACGGAAGGATCTGGAGGCTGCCATGCTGTGAGAAAGCCCAGGCATATTTGGACAGGAACATGTGGACTGAAACATATTGTGGACTTATGTGTTTCAGTCAACAGTCCCAGTTGAGCTCAACATTGGAGTTAGCCCAGCCCTGGTGCCAGACAGTGGGTGAAGAGGCCCCCGTCAAATCATCCCTGTCTTCAACTCTTCCCAGATGTAGACAGTGGCTTCTGTACTTATCCCCAGAGTGCCCTGTCCAAATTCCTGAGCCCCATAATTTGTGAGCATAATGAAATTGTTTTTTTATGCCACTATGTCTTGGGGACACTTGTTACACAGCAATCATGATTGTAACAACTAGGGTGGAAGTAGATGCAGGAAGGAAGGAGGATGCTGGGCCTAGGGCAGAAACAGTACAGACAGCATTTGGAAGGACTCCATGGAGAAGGGGAGGAGCAGAGAGAAGAGAGGAATGTGCAATGACTCTTACGCTAGTTGGAGTCCTTGCATGGGTGGAGGTGTCAATGAATGATGGGGGTAGGAGGTGGATGGTGAATTGAAACAGCAGAAGGTTGGGAAGGAAAAGTCACAAAGTTTGCCTTGGCCACGTTCTTCCTCCTTTTCCTCCTCCTGTCTCACCCACAGACTCAGTCAGCATGGAGCCCACAGCAGTCCACCTCCAAAGCATGGCTCAAACGTATACTTTCTCTTCTATATGCATCAACATTCTCTTAGACCAAAGGTTCATTTATGTCACACTTATTATGACCAGGATGTTGGGACAGGGGTTGGGGACACAGCAGTAGATCAAATTAATCCAGGGTCTGCAGTCTTGGAATAACTAGTCTGAGTACTGACTGAATCATCAAGCACAGAGACAGCACTTACTCTGTGCCAGCCACTGTCATTGAGAACTTCAGCACATTCACTCACCGAATCCTCTAACAACTGTTCTTCTTATTAATATTATCATTATCATTATCATCACAATCACCATCATTTTACAGCATGGGGAAAGCAAAACATGGAGGGACTAAGTCAAGTTCCAAAACTCCCTCAGCCAGTGCATGATCGAGTTGGGATTTTAGCCTAGAGAGTTTTGGCCTTGACCTCCATCCTTAGCCCCTCAATTATGTTGCCCTCTAATGGAGAAGACAGACTTGGGCCACTGAAATAAAAAAAAGAAGGTGTTAGGTATGAAGCTGGGGTATTTTCAGTGGACTGTGGACACACAGAGACAGGGGCTCCAAGTCCAGCCTGGGTGAATCAGGGAAGGCTTCCTGGAGATGTTTCTATGCTGGGATCCAGAAGGAATGAGTTGGTGTTAACTAGATAGAGGTTTTGAAGCCAAAGGGAACAGGGCCTGTGGAGATCCGATGAGTCTGGAGAACAGAGCATTAGAGGCAATGGGGTTGGGGGGCATTGCAGAGAAGGGGCCCAACATTTAGGAAATAGTAACAAGTTTGGACTTTATATAATATAAAGAGAAGCAGTGTGTCGCATGATCCAATCTCTTTCTCAGAAGGCTCAGGGCAGCAGCTCTTATGCAGAATCAATAGAAAGGGGCAGGAGATGGCGGCAGGTGGTTGAACAGTTATCTGGAAAGAAAAGTCCCAGCCTGGTCAAGAGCAGATGGCATGGACAGAAGCAGATGGAATTGAGAGCAGAATAGATAGGATAAGGAGGTCCCAAGGATAGGATTCTGTCCTGTGAGAGAGTATACAAGACTGGTGATGACAACATGAAGCTGGGTCATAGGAGGGACCAGTCGGAAGGTGAGGAACTTGGTTTTGGAGTTTGAGGTATCTGGAGGTCACTGGAAGGGCAGCTGATTGTGTGTGCTGGCACTCAAAAGGGAGGGTATGGGCTTTCAAGGGTGATGGATCTCCACAGATAGAAGTAGGGTGTCCTTCAAATCAAGATATGGATGGGGTACTGCGGGATGCCAAGAAGGCCCAGTGAGGAGAGCCCCAGGAACTCAGTGTGATTTATAGAGCCAGTTGGGGAAGAGGAGAAACTAGAAGCAACTGAAGAAGGCTCGCCAGAGAGACAGGAAGTATTCAAACTGCTAGAGAAGGAGCAAGGAGTTTGCAGGGTCTGACCATGCAGGGGAAGCAAGGACTAAAAAAGGTCCAAATCATTACCCTAGCTTCCAAAGGTCTTTACAGTCTGGCTCTACATTTCCCTCTCAGCCTCCATTTTTCCCAAATCCCTCGTGATCATATCACAACAAATTAGTGGGTTGCCGCTAACATTTACAAAATGGAAATAAACCAAAAAATGAGAGAGCATTGTACATAACAAAGTTCTAAGTGTGTGTGTGTGTGTTTGTGTGTGTGTGTGTTGTGTGCATGATGTGGGTACATGTATATATTATATATGTGCGTGTTGTGGGTTGTCATTTTAAAAAGTTGAGAGGCTTTTATTCCACCCTGTTATTCCTTTGCACATGCCTAGAATGCCTTTCCCCTCTTTTCCACCTAGCAAACTCCTAACTCATCCTTCAAGACCCACCCAAATAGGAACTCTTCTGACAAGTCTTTCTTGATTAACCTTCTTTCTGGCCTAGGCACTCTGGTCTCTTCCTCCTTCACACATTCATCAAACCCTCACTGAAAATGAAGGTGTGCCAGGCCCTGTGCTGGGTACTGGGTTCAGCAACAAACACAAAAGACAGTACCTCTTCCTTCAAGGAGAATATGTTCCAATACATTTCTTCCTTTGTGCTCCATGGCACCTGAGCTGATCATGGCAGAGTCCTTCCCATCCACATGATGTCTGGTTTCACAACCCACCCCTCTCCTTTACCACATGGGCTCCCTGCCAATAGGACTTTGCATCTCTGTATCCCAGCACCTAGCATCAACTGGGGACCATGACTTGATAAAAAGATTATAGGCTTTGGGGTCAAATTAGCCTGTGTCTGAGTCCCAGCTCTGCCACTTAACAGCTGCATGATCTAGGACAGTTTTATTTTTTTTAAGTGTTTGGGCTTTCTCTAGGGTTAATAATTTTCAGATCATTTCATCTTTCACTCAGTTGGGAGCTCCTCCATGGGGGAACTGTATATGACTCATTCCAAGACCCCAGACCAGGTGTAAGTAACTGGGCATGTCTCTTTAGTAGGTGTTGTTCCACTTTCAGACACACAAGCATG